CGGCTCATGCCCTCTGGAGACCAAACACCCTCGGCAGTGGGCTGGGGGGGACATCTGGGGGCGAGGAGGCGCGGGAACTGCGAGCACAGGCCACAGAGGTTGGGGGGGTGGGTGTGCATCTGTATGTGTGTGTGGGGGGGATTCCTTTGGGAACAGGAGGAGCCCCTGTCTTACTCCGCTTCTCTTGCTCCAGTTAGATATATGAAAGGTTAGAGGGGTGCAGTCATGGGGGTGGTTGCATTTGGGGTGGGGGGAGAAAATGTTGAGATCTGTTCCAGAAATCTGATAATGGAACTGTTGGGACAAAGACTTGCCACCCTTTGGAGATGTCCTTGGCCCTGTGCTTCAGATCTCTTCTGGGGATTCACAGCCAGTCTCTCGGCCTCCTAAATAGTAGCACCTTTACTCTGGCTTTGATTTCGCCACAGCAGACTAACAGGGCTACGCTCCGGAAACAGCTATAAAGAGGACTGGAAACCTTACGTGCACACGGTTCCCAAGAGGCAGGCCTGCCTAGATCTGGGACTGGCTGCGCTTCCGTGGCAGGAACGATCGGCCTGTGGCAGTGGCCACGCCGGTGCTCTGTCTTATTGCCACACAGACAGACGGTCCCTTTACGGGCGTTTTGGGTTGGGTCGCAACAAGCAACGAATAAAATAAAGATGGCACAGCATCCCATGATTAAATATTAAAGCCACAATTGAAACCAATTAACATTAAAATAACAGGAAAATAAAAAGGGTTTCGCCGGGCGCCGAACAGAAAAAAGCATTGACGCCAGGCGAACCTCTCCGGTCAGCGTATTCCAGAATTTTCCAAGGTGAGAGGATTTGGATCCTCCCCCCGGCCCCCCGGTGGGGCTTCCTTTCTTAGGAGGGTGGACAGAGAATAGCCCTGCCTGGATCTTTGACTTTTGAACTCTTCTTTGACAGCTTTCGACCGCTTCTTCCCAATTTCCCTGCTTCTTCCCAATTTCAATTGCCAGTTTCCTTGCCAGGCATCCCAGGATGCTGTTGGATGCCATTCTTCCCGTGTGACATTTTTACTTTGGGGAAGCATTTTGAATGGTCATTCTGTGTAGCTGAAACTCCCCATTTCCAGAGAGAAATCCAAGCCTTAACTCTTCCTGGGAACCCCTTGAGACCTTTCTGCCGGGACACGCGGTGTTGAGGCTGGTGGGAACAAGGCATGTCGGGGAGGGGCTGCTCTGACGCGTGTCTTTCGGTGTTGGCTTTCCCGGACAGGTGAAAGCGAGTCCGGAGGCTACGTGGGAGTGACCTCGGGATGGCGGATCGGGAACCCCGTGTGGCACAGGCAGCGGAGGGTGGGAGTGGCAGGAGAAGCAAGACCTGGAAGCCAATGAACCGCTGGACATTCGCCCACAGAACGCAAAGCAGCCCCCGGTGCCGCCGGCCAACGCGTCTCGAGAGAGAGGACTGCACGAACAAGCAAACACGGCACAGGCAAGCGGATCCTCAGTCTGTTCACGGTGGGAGCACAGAGGGGGCTGAGCAGAGGCGAGGGGGGCTGGGGAGCAGGGTGCCGGGGGGCGCGCGGAGGTGAGGCCCTGGGGGAGGCACACGCCTCGTGATTCAGAGGGGTGTCTTTCTTGGAGGGGGTGGGTCAGGGTTGAAACCCGGGCGTGTCAGGTGCATGCGTGCGTGATTTGTGTGTGTGTGTGTGTGTGTTTGCACATGCTTGTCAGGGAGGAGTCGGAGGGTGGAGGGGGTACTTCACCAAACGAAAACTACGTTCCAGAAACTCACGGCACATCCAGGAAATGCTAGATCACGCAGACGTCATGCAAAAAGAGTGCAACTCGGATCACATGACGTTTTGTTTGTCTTTCCAAATAATAATAATAATAATAATGATAATAATAATAATAATAAAGAATACAACCACTGTTTGTTCATTCCATAGGATGCAACTTACAAGGGGGCGGAGCTAGGTCTCCCGCGACAGCGAAGGGTGGCTTAGCAACAGAGTCGTCTCAAGATATGATTGGAACCCTGCCGAGGGAGGGAGGGAGGTGGGCGTGGTTTCGAGCAGCAAAGAAAGAAAACGGGAGTTTGGTTTCTTCACAGTCTTTGTGTGCTTTTTTAAAAAAGAATAATATATATTTTTTTTTAACTCGTCCTTTCCCCCCTTGCGTTTTAGCATTTTGGAAAGAAAAGGATAAAAAAAGACATTTAATCAGAGAAAACAACACTGCCACTTACACATTGAAAGAGACAAGACAGGGGGCCGGCCTCGCTAGTGAAGTTTCCCAGCAGCGGGGGGCGGTGGGGAGCCTTCCGGCCGTTCTCCCGGCCGGCTTGGGGAGCGCGGGGAGGAGGCCTTAAATGACCTCCGGGCTGCGGCCGCCTCGCGTGCCTTGGCCGTCTTGCCCAGTTCCAACCCATCCCCCTGTTTTCCGGCCGCCGTCCAGGAGCGGGGAGGCCCCTCATGCGCAGGGGCCCTGCGGCGATGCTTGGCAGGGGGCCTGCTGCCGTGCCAAGGGGGCCGCTCCGCGCCTCTGGCCAGTGGCCGTGCCGTGGCCAGCCTGGCAGCGCGAGCCCGCAGCTGCCGGTGGCCGGCCGGCCGGCCCTGAGGCGTCCCAGGACTTTCGCAAGCACGGGGCTCCTCCTCGGGCCCCGGCTGGCCACACGGGGCCACTGCCCGGCTGGCTGGACAGCGTGGGTGTGCCCCAAGAGACCTGGGCATCGCCCCCCACGCGGGCTGCCCCTCGCAGCCCCACCGACCTCGAGGGCTGTTCTGCGAACAGCAGGGACGGTGCCTGAGGGGTCGGCGGCTGAAGGCGTCCCCCTCTGGCACGCGGGTCACTGCCGGCGGACCTGGATTCCTCCTTGGCCACCCCGGCATCGAACCGTCGCACGGGCCAGCGGCGTGCGTGTGCCTGGCGAGAGGGCGCAGGGAGGATTCGTGGCCTTCCCGTACAAGGCAAGGCCATCTGACCAAGACATCCAGAACTGCTCCTCAGCCCCGCTTTCCAAGCACGTCTCTGTTAATACTCTGACACGCAGCCACGTTCTGTGGGGCCGCGGGAAGCACCCACTGTTCAGATACTTCCCCGGCTGGGGAATGGGACCTGATCCGACTTGCCTGCTTACAAGGCTTCCCTTGCCTGCCGGGCCCTGAGAGGCCTCCTCTGTGGCACCCAGACGGGAAATGGCCGCCGCTGATGGAGCAGCTACTGAAACCCAGCCGGGGCAAACGCCGCCCGCCCGCCCTGCGTGGAGCTGCCGCTTGAATGTGAAAAGTCCTATTTCCGGGAGAAATTAAGTGCAGGAGGGCGGACACGCGGGGCACCCCCAAAGCCCTGTGCTACCGACAACGGACACAAGAAAGGTAAATGGAATTGCTTCACAATTCACTGCAAGGGACTTTTGTTTCAGACTACAGGTGGAAAATACACACACACACACACACAAGAACAAAGTGGTCGATCAAGTGACACGTCACACCACAGAGGGACACTCGCGGACTCTTCTGCTCGCCCTCTCCCTCCCCGCCACCGCATGCAGGGACCCACCATGGCTCCGCTGCGAGCGGGGCCTGGGCCAGGCGGACCCTCCTGCCCCACAGAGCGGGGTTTGCGGGGGGGGGGGGTCAGCTGGAAGACCTGGGTTCCCAGGTTCTGCGTTCTTGGCAGGACCAAGGGAAATGGGCAAAGCGGAGCCCAGGCATTGGCTGCATCGGCACAGGCAACCTTCCCGGCTGGCGCGGCTGGTGGCGTCCCTTCCTCTGCCCCACATACAGCCAGCTCCCTCCAGAGCTGCACAGCGGCAGCCCTGTTTATTTTGACAGAGGGTGGGAATCCTTTCCTGCTTTGCAAAGTGCCTTAGAAACCGACAGCACAATACAAGAATGATGGTGAAAATACAGTATTTTTTTCTATTCAAGTGACCATTTTCCGAGATTCCTAGTCGGAGGCCTGCGTGTTTTCTTCTTCTTCCCTTTACAATTAATAATGCATTTTGAAGGAAAAGTTTTTGCAGTGTGGAGTTTATCCTTTCTGTTTTCAGTATTATTAAGGGCAGGAAGAACCTCCACACACCATGTTTGCGTTCTGCAAATCCCCTGGCTCTGGACCCATAAAGCGGCACCAAATTTTCAATTCAAGTAATGAATTCATACAGCTCATTTCCTTGAAACTAACAAGCAGGAATGGGGATGTGACGTTTCGGTTTCTCAGTCTCAACATTAATGGCGGGGCACTGGTATAGTTTGAGGGAGGAAGCTGAGAGTTTTAAAATGAGTTTGGAGAATCCCTGTTACTCATCTCAGTGTATTAACCACAGGTAATTCTCAGACTGTTTGCCGGCGTGCAAGAGGTTCCCATGAAAAATAACACGCAGAGTGAACCCGAGGTCCTTGGCTGCACCTGCTCTGCGAAGACGCTGCCCACAGCAGCTCTGGGTGAGTCGAGGTTTTCTGCCTGCCCTTCCGCCTGCCCACTTCTGCAGGGCCCAGCCCCACCTCTCAGCCCCTGGGCACGAATTGTTCTGTTGCCTCTGCTGCAGTGAGGGCCCCCCCCCCCCCGAGGGGGCTGCCCAGTGGCACTCTGTGCGCCCCGAACAGTGACTCGTGCAGAGGCCTAGGAGTGGGCACTGGCGAGGGGCTTGCTGCAGCTGACCCCAGCGGCCTGCCTCTCGTTTCGGCCTGGCTGAGCCGCTTCTTTGCTTAGACATGCCCGTCCAGCGGCCGGAGATGAGGGAGGGAGGGGCAGGCACAGGGGCCGCCGCTTGGCTGCTCGTCCAAGTTGCGGTGCTTCGTTCCCAGATACGAGGCTGGCCAAGCCATTCCTGCGCCCGGCGCTTTAACGCTTGCTGGGCCCACTAGAATCGGGCTCTATTTCATCGCTACCCTTTCTACTAACGGAGTCAGCAAAAGAGAGGTTTGGTCTCGGCCCGGCTTCCCCAGCTTGGCTCCCTGCAGCTGTTGCTGGACTACGGTTCCCACAGTCCCCCGGCCTGCACCTTGGCAAAGGCTGAACTGGAGGGACGGTGGTACGGACACCGTCTCCCTGCCTTGTCGCTGGGCAGTGCCCCATCTGACATGCCTTTTCTGGTGCCGGGGGTCAGACTAGATGGCCCGGGAGGCCCCTTCTGACTCGCTCTGTTTCTCTGTTTCTGTGCCAGGGCATGTGGACCGAATGCTGTTTGCCGGCTCCTTCCAGACTGGACGGCCAGACCTCACAGCAGTCCACGCAGCGCGGGAGCGGAGACCCTCGAGGCCAGGTTGGTGTCCTTCCAGTCCCAAGCCACAGAGCGGCGTTCTGCCGCGGCTTCCCTCCTCAGACCTTGCCAGCCAGTCCGGAAGGGCCTTTTGTCCTGAAGGGGGACCGGGTTCTGGGCTGGAAGTATCCAGCAGCTCGGCCTCCAAACACCTCGCCTGCTCTGGCTGGGTCACGTTTTGGTGATGTTCCAAGCAAAGGTACCCACCTGATGGGCAGCAGTTCAGTACGGCCGGTTGGCGTCTTTGGGCCGCTTAAGCTGGACCTTGAGGCGCTTCATCCCGATCTGGAAGCCGTTCATGGCCTGGATGGCGGCCTGAGCGCTGGCAGGATTGTCGAAACTTACAAATCCTGAGCAGGGAGAAAAATGGAGAAGAGGGGTGGGGGGCAAGCATCCACTGAGACCTCACAGCAGACGGGGATGCTGTGGTGGCATATAAGGGTAGGAATATGGCATTCCGCCTCACTGAAAGCTCTTTTTAATGAAGAGTAAAGTTTCTAGTCCTTAGGCTAGGAGCCATGAAGATAATGCTGGCTTGGAAAGCTCACAAGCCAGGCTTTGAGAGGAGGGGAAGACTTAGGACCCGGCATCGCTTCCTGTGACTAGCAAGCCCCAGAACGCATCATGCAATGCTCATAATTCCAGATCAAAACCCCTAAGGTGATGGGGACGGTGTGAGTCAATACAAGGAGCTGGCCTGCTACGGCTGGCTCCAGAAGTTCCTGGAGTTCCCAGGATAGGTAACCAAAGCTCGGGGTTCAGAGAGCATTCTTGGGGTAGCAAGTAAACAGCTGCCCCCCCCCCAGCCCCACAGAAACGCCAGCCACACAGTCAAGTTTCAGGGCACGTGAGTGGGTTGGTTGGGGGCTGTCGCCCTGGAATAGGAGACTTTGCTACCTCCTTCCTTTCCTTTTGGCTGTCCATACCGAAACATTTGCTCTGGTTGGTGGCCCTGTCCACGAAGACTTTGGCAGAGATAACGTTCCCAAAGGGGAGGAACATCTGCAAGATTTCGGAGTCCGTGAACTCCTGTGGCAGGTGATAGATGAAGATGTTGCAGCCCTCGGGACCTGCAAAAGAACAGCAAGGAGCGGGATGGAGCCGCGGGAAAGAAAATTCGGAAGGGCGGGAGAAGCGTCAGCTGAGGACTTGCGGGGATGTGGGGGAGTCTCGTCAAGATGGAGGAAGCGTCCTGCTGGATCGGGCCCAGGTGTTCTGCGCACACAGCGGCCTGTTGCTCACGTCGGGGAGCTTGTGGAAAGCGCTCGGGAAGGATGCGAGGGCCGCAGCACCCCTGCTTTCCAGATGAACCAACTGTGAAGGTTTGCTGGCTTACTTGAAAACGCTTCGGGTGCAACTGCTCCTGGGGACGGCTGGGATTTGTGGCAAGGACATGATTGGGTCCTTAGTCACTTTCCTGAGCCAGCCAGCCTCGGGTTGAGGCCTGGGTAACTGTAAAACCCCCGAGTGGCTGCCCTGAGCTCTCCGCTCTGCCAGCGGATTGGTGGTGCCGGCGCTGTGGCTTTTAAATCGTTTGCATTCGCAAAACGTTTTACACTGCTATTTAAAATTATTTGTCCTTTGGATGTGGTTTTTCTGCCGTGACATGTATTTTCTCCTAATCAACAACCTTGTGAGAGCTTTGTCCTAAAATTTAGACAAGATTTTATTAAAAAAAATGGACTAAAATAAAATCTGTTTCCTCAACTAAGATAAGAAGCGGGAGGGGGGCAAGCCTATTTCAGAATGGGCCCGTATAAACAACCCAAACACCTCTAGACTCCCAGAACGTAGCTAGGACTGCTCTGGAGAGACAGTGACCGAGTCGTTTCACTCCAAGTCCCAACAACCGTCAGCGGGGCCAGCCGCCCAGACGGCACTCCGTGAAGGCAGGCCGATGCCGGGAAGCCGTGCCAAGCGGCTCTCCTCTCTTGGGGGCCCCCCGAGATCCAGCCCGGCAGCCCAGCTCTGAATAGGCGCTCCTGGAAAGGCCTCCTCCTCCTCCTCCTCCTCCTCCTCCTCCTCCGAGGCGGAAGCGCTGGGCTTGTCTGCCAGCTGCCGGAATGCGGACCGGAGCAGCACTGGCTTGGGTGGAACTTGCTTGCCCCTTAATGCAGTTGGGCAGGGCAAGATGCTAGTTTTATATTTTAGATTAGTATTTTTGCATTTTAACTTAACGTTTGCATTTTTTAATTTAATGTTATAATTATTTTTTAACTTAACGTTGTAAGCCGCCCGAGGCTTTGGCGAATGGGGCAGCATAACAATGTTTTAATACTTAATTAATTAATTAATAGTTGCGTGGTGAGCAGCCCTGCTGCGAGACTGCCAGAAAGTAATTTGGGGCGTGGGGGGCCCTGAAATCCTGAGCATGGCTGTTCGCTTGGGAACGCGTGTGACATGTAGCTTGACCGGCACTTTCAGATGAGGACCAGCCCCGCCGATTATCCCCCCCCCCCGCCCCGCACTCCACTTTCTGCGCTTTTGGCGCCGGGGTCAGTGGCACCCGGAGGCCGCGGTGCGGGGCACGGGGCGCGGCGAGGCACCCTAGCTTCGCCGGCAGGGCGCGCCCAGGGGCCAAGAGGGCCTGTGATGGCCCCAGGTTCAGCGCCGTGGCCGATGGGACGCGGGGGCCGCCGCGCACCTTGCCGGGGCAAACGGGCAGGCTGCGGCTCGCACTGTCGCCACGGGAGGGCGCCCTGGCGGCAGCGCGGACGCGAGCGGCCACTTGCGGCGCACGATCTTGGCCAGCGCAGGCCACCGTAGCTCCGGCGGCGGGAGCCAATCGGAAGGGGTTTCCTGCAAAGGGGCCCGGCCTGCGACGCCCCCAGGCATGGTCGCGGACAATCCGAGAGAGAGAGAGAGAGTCGCATGCACTGGGGGGCGGGCCTGCCAGGCCTGGGTGAGGACCTCCGGGAGAGTGGGGGGCTCCGGCCCCGCCACCTGTGCCGCCTCGGGCAGGCCGCGCAGCCCCGGTGCCCACAGGTGCCCCCAGCCGGTGACAGAGAGAGAGGGAGACCGGGAGAAGAAAAAAGAGACTCTGCTCGGAGAGGTGGCCACTGGGCAGGCGAGCCGGCTGGGCAGGAGCTGCCCGAGTAGCTGGGCTGTGCGCCCTAGCGAAAAGTCCCAAGACTTAGTCTCTCCAGAAGGGCACAGAAATAAGGGGGGGGGGGGCGACCACAGTGGCAGCAAAACCCCCCAGCGCTGTAGGCAGCCAGCACAAGCTGCATGCTCTCTGTCCCCCCCCCACCCCGAGCAGAGCTCCCTTTTCGGGGGGGGGAGGTTGGGGGTGCCTCATGTGGCAGGTTGGTTATCCCTTCAGCCACCAGCTATTCCGTGGGGCACCCCGACGTGCAACCTCACTAGGACCACACCTGTGGCGGGGTGGTTATCCCATGTGCCACAGTCTTTGGGTGCCCCCAGCATACTGGGAACTGCATCCTCTTGGCCCCCAAACCAGGGTGCCTTCGTCCGTGGGTAGAGCGGTGACTCGGGTGCCCTCCCGTGGCCAGTGCCGCGCACTGGGGGCTACAATGTTAGTAGCCAAACCCTGGGGGTTCCCTCCTGGGCAGCGCGTTCTCGCGTTCCTATGAAGCCATCCCATCACGAGACTCCCAAGGTGGCAGGGCGAAGGCCTCAGTGCAGACACGGATTCCTTCCGGGGCCAGGACTCTCGACTGCAGCGCCCTCCTCCCACGAGCCCACACTGGCTAACTGATCAGAGCAGTGACTGCCCAGCCAGCCATCAAACCTTTAATTAGGGTTCAGTAATAAGGAAACGCCATTCTCGAGCGCTGCAAGCAGCTGGCCCGCACTTGGCAGCCGGGGAGTGCGAACTGCAGGGCGCCAGGTTCGACCTGTTCCACTGCTTGCCAGCCCTACGGCCAGCGCCTCTGGGAGCAGCCGGGCGAGGAGGAACGGCCAAGCGGGCAAAAGCTTTGCAGCGGCAAATTCGACTCCCTGTTCGCAAAGTGCCCTCTGCCAGCCACCAGGGTGGCCGGACCAGTGCCTCCCAGTTCACTGGGGAGGGCAGACGGTCCCCGTGTGCTAGGGAGCACCTGGGGCTCCGGGCAGGCTGGACGGAGCTCGGCGCGACCGCGGCCCGACCTACCTTCACGCTGCTGCTGCTGCTGCTGCTGCTGCTGCTGCGGGGGCGGCTGCTGGGTGATGATCGCGGCCGGCTGCTGCGGGAAGGCCGGGCTCACCAGTCCGTAGGCGGCGGGGTAGGCAGCTGCGGGAGGAAGCGGCGCGCAGTGAAGGCCGGGCGAGGGGCAGGCGAGCAGGGCCCGGCCCCCCGCCTCCCTGGCCCCGGGCACGCACCTGTGTAGTGTTGCATCCCGGCGTACGCCTGCTGCAGCGGGTCCACCGGGGCGGCGGGGCTCTGTGCTGTGAAAGGGGCGGGGGAGCACGCGCACTCGTTAGGGGCGCCGGGAAGCCCCAGAGACGCGCCCAGGAGTGTCCCGCTCCCGTCCTCTCCCCCTCTCGGTCTCCTTGTCACACGCGGGTTTCCTTCTGTTCTATCTACATTGCAGCTACGGCAGAACAAAATGTCATCCTGGCTCCGTTCTCCAAATGAGATATATTTTGGCCACCGCTACGTTGTTTTGTACCCCTTTTCCTACACTTTAATCGAATTAAATTTCATGCAATCCCGAGTGCAGAAAGGTGGTATGCGTGCGTCCTGTGTCTTTCTAACAGCGAACAAAGACACTCCTGTACTCAGGACATGGGGGCTCTATCATGACTGTTAGTTGCTCACACACCAACCTGCTCTTTAAATACAAAGATCAAATACACACTCAAAAAACGTGCAGTGGAGGCTTTGTACAAAATGTGCCACGCTGTTCGTACCCTGGTATTTCTACTTTGCTTTTCAAAGCCAACAAAGGCAATTTACAAAAAGTGCAGAAAATAAAAACTATAATAAAATATAAGCCAGCATGGCATGGGAAACAACCTTTAAAAACATCACCATTTGAAAAGCCCAGTTGAAAAGATACGGGCAGAACCAAACAGGGTGTCTACAACTTCGCTGAGAGCTTTCCGGGCCTCGCCTTTCTCCATGCGGCGCCCGCCACTTGCAGAATGGAAATTTTGCAACTGGGAAAATATTTCAGTCTGGAGCGCTGCAGGTCAGCAAAGCTCCTGACCAAGAAAGCAGAGCTTCCCCTTTCCCAGAGCTTCCCCGGTTGCACAGGCATGTGGTCCCTGCACTGGGGCCCTGCTGGAGTTCGCCCTGGATTTCCAGCCCTCGGGTGGATTGAGTGAGTGTGGGGACCATCGCTTTCCCAAGGAAGCAAATTCCAGAGTCGGGAAGCGATGCAAGAGAAGGCCTTTCTTGGCCTGCCCGGCAAAGCTGTCCCTGAGGGGACTTGTCCTGCAGTGCCACCTGCCTGAATGGGTTTGGGCAGAGCCAGGCGGTCCCCAAAAAGCCAGGCCGCTTAATGCTGTCAGGTTTAAAGCCAGCCCCTTGAGCTGGGACGGCCAAGGCCTGGATGCTCTGCAAGGGACACCTCAGACGCGGGGGCGGCAGGTGTGCGTGTGCCGGAAGAGGAGAACGCGTCGCCCAAGTCAGCCCCAGGCGTGGCAGGTACCTGGATAAGGGTGGACGCCGTTCGTGTATATGGCCTCTGAGGCTGGCTGCCCCGTGCTCTGTGTGGGGACAGGGCTGTAGCCGTTGACGCCGAGCGTGGCCGGGATGGCGGACACCGGCGTGGCAGCGATGGCGGGCGGCGTGCTGGTACCTGTGGGGGGAGAGGCAGAGACGGTCATCGCAGCTTGCTGCCCCCCGGTGGCATCGATGCAGTCCTGTGCCCCCCACTCAAACACCCTTCCGCACAGGTAGGAGCTGGTACATAAAGGTACGGTTTATGCCGGATACCTTGCAGTCTGGAATAACCTCCTCCCTGGAGGAGGTTATTCCTGCCCTTCTCGGTCCCCTTCCTGCACTGGCCCTTTTCCACCCTGGTCCAGGGAGTCCGCTTCGCATGCCAAATAAGGGTCACACCCTCTAAGGAAAAGGGGAGGTTGATATGGGAAGGACGCCTAGAAAGGAATATGGCCAAAGCTTATGTTCAAGTTTATATGTTGCTCAGTAGCCTGACGGGACTCTCAAGTGGCTCGCAATATTAATATGCAAGCTGGCATTACAGGTACAGGGGAAGGGGGGTGGGCCACAATGAGCGCTCATAATTAATTCCAGGGGCTGAAATCAGGTCTCAAAAAATCTGCAAAAGAGGCTGTTTTTTGCCGAAATGATAGAAGAGATTTAGGCATCGAATGATGCCAAGATGACACAATTTTCTTTGTATGAGAGGGAGCGCTCCATGATTCATCATTGTTTCACCTGATTCCCAGCATCAGGGAAATCTGTGAAGTTCGCAGCCTTTGCCTGCTAACCTCTGCGGGGGAGAAGATGAGGCCCTTCAGGTGTGGTTAGACTACAGCTCCCATCAGGCCCAGCCAGCATAGCGAATGGTGATGGATAACGAGAGCTGCCCTCTTGTGCGCCTTATTCTTGATGTGAGGACCAGAGAGGAGTGGATTTTCTTTAAAGCAGCTGAGAGTCCCACATCCTGGAGGGAATTCCCACGTACAACTGCACTGAGGTGTCCCTGAAGCACCGGGCATCGTCCCAGGCAGCATGTGGACAACTGACAGCATCTCTGCGAGAGGCTGGGACCCAAAGATCAGCACGTTTTCGGGAACAAT